CCTTTCCTTCCCCCTCCCCATCCACTACAACAGACTTACCAGCTGCACACAGCTCTCCAAGCTGCTAGGCTGTGCTCCTTGCTGCCTGCATGCTGCGCTGCGGCTGTGCACACGCATGGGCATTTATCAGCCAAATTATCAGCCACATCAGGCTGATTTCTGATGCATTCAATTTTCCTTGTATTGGTGCCAATCCGATATCAGACTGATGTATCGGTGCACCTCTAATTATCTGGAAAAAGACCAATTGGTAAGGGAGTACTGTAGTCAGTGCCTTCTAAAGAGGTCACCGCTATGGTAAACTAGACTTTGACTGCATGCTTGTGTGCAAATGATCTGGAAGCATTCTCCCGGGTTTCTTCTCCTGGTAGAAAAATGTACCCAGAAGTGCCTGACCTTATTTGATGCTGAATCCTTGAAGAGCAGAGAACTTGCAGTGCTGATGCTGTGCAGTCAGGGCGCCCTTGTACGTACATCTTAGCGTGCTTTGTAGGCTCATTCAGTCTGCCTGGTGAAAATAGCAATAGTGCGCCTGGCAGTCCTGATTGGCTGACCCAGACTGCCTATCAGGCTGTGTTTCCCTGTTGCAGAATGTGGGGGTTGTGAAGGGGGCATTTTGCTCCCTGCTTGGCTGGAGCAGAAGAGTCCACCCTGTCTCCTGGGTGCAACTCTTCCAGGAGAAACTCAATGTCTGTACATGGTCTTAGATACTTGGTAGCATTTATGACACACCACAGGCTCAGAAGCAAGTACCAAGGGCATAAAAGCCTCTAGGTCCTATAGATGTTAGTATCTGGTGAGTTCACTATCCGTAGTCTTACCTACAGCTCTTTTAAAAAAAAAAAAAAGTTATTTAGCGTAGTAGAAAAGAAATAGTGCATTGTGATTGTTTAGTCACTTAGAATAGACAATTAACCACTCCATAACTTTGGAATTTAGTGGCACCCCATTTAAAGACTGATTTCCTTCCTATAGTGCTTACCTTCTTGAACCCCACAGCACCCCAGGATCTTATGGAGTGGTAGAGTGGACAGGGCGCCCCTGAGAACATGGCGAGGTGATATGGTAGGGGCTGCTTGACAAAGCAGATTGGGGAGCTTGGTAGTGGGTTGTTGGATCCCTGAAGGAAGCATCTGTTTCTGCAGGAGGCAGAAAGCGGTGTAAGTGGCTGCTGGTGCCAGGTGAAGGCAGCAGGGGCAGAATCTGCCTTGATCTTTCTGCTCTCTGGTTCCTCCTTGCCCTCATCTTTACATGAGCATTTTATGTTTTGTGTCAGGTAAATGTAACTCTTTTGCCAGGTCCTGCCCAGCTGCCAGACCCCTGTAGAAGGGCTGTGTTCAAATTTAGTGGTTTAACACCAAGCATAGTAAAAAAATTTAAAAAGTTAAAAAAAAGTTTAAAAAAAAAAATTTATTGCCAGTGAAAAGTTTGTAGTGAAAAAGAATTTCTTGGTTTGGCAAACCTGCTTGACTGCAGCAGTGGTTTTATACTGTGCTACCCCTATACCCTAATGCCTCAGACCACATCCTGCACAATGCTCCCCACTTCCCAGTCTACTCCTATGGACCCCAGTCTCCCATTCCAGCACAGGCCCCAAAAGACCCCAGCCCAGAAGGTTTTGAACCTTTTTTAATAAGTGTACCCCCAGTGGCTGGATGTGGAGTGGGGGTGGGGGGTGCACGACCAGACGCAGAGCAGCAGCAGTGCGGGGTGGTGGGTGGCGGCAGCGGCTGCCGCATGCAAGCTCTCTCCCCCTCCAACTCCTCCCTCCATGTCCGGCCAGCTGGGCAGCACTTGTGCAGCCCACAGAGGGGCACTGCTGCCCTTGTTCCCCCACCCCAGGCCATGCTCCTGGGAGACAGTGGCATGGGGTGGTGGGTGGCGGTGCTCCATCCCTGCCCACCCGTGCGTACCTCCTAGGGCTTTTCTAAGTACCCCAAGTGCCCTTTCTCTCAGACAACAGGTAAAGCTGCTCTTCTTTGTCCATCCTCCAATCAAGCTCCAGCTGCAGTGGCAGATTAAGATTTACTGGGCCCTGGGCAAACAGAAAATTGGAGGCCCCTGACCCGGCAAGGGCAGGTTCCTCCTGCACTTGCCAGGGGGCTGTGGCTGGGCCCAGCCGGCCTCTTGAGTGCATCCAGGGCAAATCGGATGGTGTGAGCACTGCTGAGGTGAAGGTCCCAGCCTGGCCCTTCCTTCTGGTGGGTGTTGCACATCATGGAACGGGCTGGG